GTGCACCCAGTGGTGTCACCTGAGAAGGTTCTCTATGGTCACGGTGAATTTTTTTATAAAAGCAGTTTTGCTCAAACCTTGTTTTTTTGTGATGACTGATTTAAGAGAACAGTGTGTAGCTGTGAAATTTTGTTTCCTGCTCAGGAAAAATGCAGCAGAATTGTTGTAATGTTGAACATAGCTTATAAGAACAATGCTATGGGAAAAACTCAAGTGTATGAATAGTTTTCTAGTTTCAAAAAAGGTGAAATGTCAATTGATGACAAATCTCGTTCTGGACTTCTGTCAACTTCCCAAACAGATGAAAATATCAACTCGAGCATTTGGAGTTTGTTCCACCAGGTCAGACTGTTAATCAAGCTTTCTATTTAGAAGTTCTGAAAAGATTGCATAACAGTGTGCAACTAAACAGGCCTGATTTGTGACAGACAAAGGATTGGTTTTGCCACCACGGCAATGCACCTGCTCACGCAGCCATCTCAGTGTGCCAGTTTTTGGCAAAAACACAGTATGCCTCTGTTGCCCTATGCCCCTTACTCACCTTACCCTCACTCTGTGCAACTGCTTTTTGTTTCCTTGAATGAAGAGGGACATGAAAGGACAGTGATTTGATGACGTAGAAGAGGTGAAGAAAGAAAACGAGGGAAGTGCTATCAGCCATCCAAAACAGATGACTTTGAAAAATGTTTCCAAGAATGGAATTGCAGAGTTGACAAATGTATTAAGTGTAATGGAGAGTACTTTGAAGGTGATAAGGTTGCTTTGTAAAAAAAAATTAAATACACAGCTTTGGAGGTGGGGGAAATAAACAAAATCCATTTTTGTGGGGTGCCCCATTATAGAAATTTCTTCACTGATATTTGGGGAATAGGTTGCCAGACCTTTCTTCCAAGGCACCTCTGGGTGAGATGGAATCTCTTGACCTTTTGGTTAGCAGCCATGAGTGTTAACTATGCCGTGCAACTCACATTGTGTTACAGATGATAACAAAACCCAGTGTAAAGTTTTAAGGCTACAAGAAAAGAAATAAAAGAAAATCACTAATTTTTATTTCTCAAACTGAGCAGTTCTTCCATGCCACTAAACGTAATTAAGTCTGTAGTTGAGCTTCTGTATTATGTATTCTAGACCTCTTTTCCTGGGTAGTTCTCTATTATTTAATTAACTTCCTGGGGTCTGGAGATGTGTGCTGTGAGGTGGCATGGTGTGGGGTCCCGCGCATAGTCACCCCATGTACAACAGAAGAAAACACTGCTCACAGGGGTTTTTTCCATGAAAGCACTTTCATTCAAACCTCGTTTTTTGTGACGAAAACAAGGATTGCCTTGTACAACTTCAGTGGATACATTTGATTCCATTCTTGCAGCCACTCTGTCTATCCATATTGTTGGGGATCCTTCTGGGGTTTTTTTGTTTTTCTGATTCTCTACCTTCAAGCATGATGTCTTTTTCCAGGGACTGGCTCCTCCTGAGAGCATGTTCAAAATGTGTGAACTGAAGTCTTGCTGGCCTTGTGTCTAATGAGTATTCTGGCTGTACGTCCTCCAACAATAATTTATTTGTTCTTTTAGTGACCCATTGTGTACTTTTAATATTCTTCACCAACACCATAATTCAAATGCACCAGTTCTTATTTCATCTTCCTTATTTATTGTCTAACTTTCACATGCTGTCAGGTGATTGAAAATGCCAGGGCTTGGGGCAGGTGCACACCATAGTGACATATCTGCTCTTTAATACCTTCAAAGGGGTCCTGTGCTGCAGATTCCCACAGTGCAACCTGTCATCTCATCTTGATGGCACTGATTGTGGGTCCAGGTAAAATGAAGCCCTTGACAGCTTCAGCCTTTGCTCTGCTTCTCATGATTTCGTCTCATCCCACTTGCGAGGACTTCGGTTTTTCTTTACATTGAGGCATCATCCGTACCGAAGGCTGTAGTTTTGATCTTCATCTGTACAGATGGCGACTTATGGTCAGAGGTCATTAGAATCGGATTTTGTGCTAGTTCTCAATAGGAGGCTAGGATCGATAGAATAAAAACTGTACACTTAGGATTGAGTCTCAAGAGCTAAGCACATGACTGAGGGTTGGGGTAGGTGGGTGAGCAAAAACCGGGTGCTGAGGAGGAGAACCGAACACATAAAACCCCCAAGGACAGGCTAAGAAGGCGTTGAACAACGGGTATTGATGCGTGTCATGAGCCAAAAAACCCAAACTGCGGTGGAGTTGTCTCCAATTCATAGTTACCCTATTGAACAGAGTAGAACTTCCCCTTTGCGTTTCTGCAACTTTAAATCTTTGAACCGCTGACCCGTGCTTAGCAGCTCAATGTGTAATCCACTACACCATCAGTCTCGTTGTAATAGTCTGTGATTGTGGTAATAGTTTATGGAAAAGCGAAAACACTGCAGTAATTGTGTTAGCTCACTTTCAGTTTTTTTGCTCATGCCTTCTTTTGGGTGTATGGGTGCTTTTAATTTAGAAGAATCCGGTTCTGTATCCCTGAGGTTTAGTTATGGAAAAGGAAACAAAGGCAGTCAGTCTGGGAATAGGAGACCCAAGACACTCGTACAGAGCAGTGAGAACAAGTGAGGCAGAAAGAGGCAATGAAACGGCACCCTGGTCAGTAGCAATTAGAGATATAACCTCCTTCAAGACATAAAAAAAGTGAGTCTCGTGGCACCGTGGATTAAGTATTGGGCCATTAACCACAGGCCAGCGATTTGAGACCCACCAGCTGCTCTGCAGGAGAAGAAATCTTTTGCTCCCATAGGATTTATAGTCTCTGAAACCCTACGAGGCAGTTCTCCCCTATATATTTTTTTATTTTAAATCATTTTATTGGGGGCTTGTAAGCTCTTATATCCATCCATCCATCCATCCATCCATCCATCCATCCATCCATCCATCCATCCATCCATTGTGTCAAGCACATTTGTACATATGTTGCCATCATCATTTTCAAAACATTTTCTTTCTACTTGAGCCCTTGATATCAGCTCCTCATTTCCCTCACCCTCCCTCCCTCCCTCCCTCCCTCATAAACCCTTGATAATTTATCATTTTTTTCTTGTCTTATATTGACTACTCTCCTTTTCTGTTGTCTGTCCCACTGGGAAGGGGTTCTTTGTAGATCATTGTGATCAGTCCCCCCCCCTTCCTTCCCTTTACACACACACACACACACACACACACACACACACACACGTACACACACACATGCATACACACACCAAAATGATAAAGATTCCTTTTAGGTATTTAAAAGGATAATATTTAATTATCCTTGAGAAGTAGCTTAATTACTAGGGAAATACTATAAATTATTAAGACAGTAGTAAGAAAATGATCTTAGAGACCAAGAGAGAAAAAAAAATCCATATGTTTATATATAGGAATTTTGTTAAATCTTGAAGTTTTGTGTTTTAGTTTGATTTGGGTACCTTTGGCATAGTATGCAAGTTCTTTCTGGAAAGTACCAAACATTTTGTGTCTTATATAGAACTTGCTTTTTGTATATCTTATTAAAATTGTGAATGAGATGTCAAATGCATTTTATGGATTTACTATCTTTTAAAAAATATTCATTCAGATAAAAGCTGTATATACATTATGAAACCATTTGTCCTCTTTTACAGAATTGAATGTGAGGGAGTCTGATGCAAGAGTGTGTGGTGAATCCTCCTGTAAGTATGGCGGCATCTGTAAGGAAGACGGAGATGGTGTGAAATGTGCGTGCCAATTCCAGGTGAGCAAACCAAGCGTATTTCTTAGTATTTCAATTTTAAAATGTTTTATAATTTGGCTTTTTTCAAGCTTAACACAATGCAACTCCATCAGCAAGTTCTTTTTTGTCTGGTGTAATCCTGTCATTAGTACTTCCAGGCTTTGTTCATCCAGTTTAAAGAACCCCAGTGATAATAGGTGAGAAAATGTCCTGAGGAACTAGGAGCAAACATTAAGTATTACAGTCACTGAAGGGAAATCAGGAACTGTGTGTCATGGAGCCTGGCCTTTGAAATGTTGGCATTTTCCTCTTCCAGTCTTTCTCCCCTTTGCACCTGTGTTTGCTGTTGCCTTATCTTTGTAGGCTGAAGGTCATGCCTGACTTGGAACCTCAGGTGAGGGCAAAGTTAGGGATGAAATAAGGAAGGGGACTCCAGGCCAGGAGCGTTTCTAAATGCCTTTCTTTCAGATGCCATTTCAGTTGCAGTTCTAGTGCCTTATTAAAAAAAGAGAGAGAGAGGGAAGCAGAAAAAGAAGGGTCATTGGGAAGGTAAAATACGTTACATCCGTTTCTTCCTTTGTGGGTTTATATTCTGATTATTTGTCATGTTGTCTCCTGGTATTTCTCACAAAGATGCCCCCGTTCAGGGCTGGAAATGACAAAAAGAAGGAATTAGAACTTCTTGTGATTTTGTTCTCAATTTATCTGCCATTTTCGGTTTTAAGGGGAAAGGGGTTAGAAGGCCGAGAAAGTCACGATTTCCAGTGAGGCATAGGATCTCAGGCCGTGTTGTCTGCATCGGAATTCTCTCTGTAAGGAGATGGCAGTGTTTTTGCCCTTTCTCTTGCTGTTTGAATGAGATAACATCAGAAATGGAGCTTGCCTATGAAAACGCTCCGAAAAATGACAAGCCGTTATGTTATTTATTTTTATTAGAAGAGGTGATTTGGTAAAGGAAGAATAGATGAATGTATTATTGCCCTTCTTCATGGTCAAAAGGGGCTTTCCAATCAGTTATTTAGAGTGATAGGAGAGTGTCTGTTGGGCAGTTCCAGACCAGCACCTTAGACATCTCATAGCATCCTGGTGCACTCAGAACGAAACGCTGCCTAGTCCTGCGCCCTTCTCTTATCATCGCTGACCTTGAACCTAGCCTTGCAGCTACCGTGTCAGTCCACTTCATTGAAGATCTTCCTTTTTCTTGCTGACCCACCACTTGACCAAGCATGATGCCCTCCTCCAGGGACTGGTCCTTCGGGACAACCGGTCCAAAATACACAAGATGAAGACTTGCTAGTCTCCTCTCAAAGGAGCATTCTGGATGTGCCTTGTGTTCACCTTTGTGTGGTTAGTCTTATAACAGGCTTCCAGTATGTTGTGGCTAACTGCCATGCCCCTTTCCAAATCCTTTGGAATAGCAAGCAAAGTGGACTTCTTTTCTTAAAAGATATCTGTGTATATACATGGTAGACACTAAGCCATTCTGAATTCTTCTTTCTCCCATTTAGCCAGCATCATGAATAACTGCTCAGAAGGAAGAATTGTAAGAAACTTCTTTTCTGTAAGGCACCAAAGATTCAAGTTTCACCTTTCCGTTTGCTTGCTGTGACCTACTTGATTGCTTGCCTGGTTTTGTTGTTCTCTTTTGTTTGGCTTCTTGTCTTTGTCTACCCTTTGGGTCCAGTTTTATAAGCAAGATTTGCCTATCATTTGTAGGTGTCTTACGGGTTCTCTAGAGAAATGGAGAACACACACACACACACACACACACACACACACACAGAAGTTTACTTGCAATGATTGGCTCATATGATTGTGGGGCTTTAGACTTCTAAAGGCCTGTGTCTCAACATCTCTAGTTAGGTCATGGGAAAAGTTTGTAGATGAGAGAGAGTAAATTCTGCCAGAATATCTATTTATACACTCTACAGTCAGACCACACACTGAGGAAGCTGCCCTTTCAACTGATTGATTTTATTATATTAGATTATGGAAAGTGATGATATTACGTTGCATTAGATTGCATTATGGAACAGCAACTAGTCTAACGTTTGGTCAAACCCCAGGGACCCATAGCCTAGCCAAGTTGACACATCAAATTAACCGTCCCACTAGCTTAATTTACTTAAGCGTCTTTTAGTCCAACTGCTATAACCCAAAGAGGAACATCTTAAATGTGCTCTTTGTGGAGTAGAGTTAAGTAAAACTGTGCAATTCGCTGTCATTATCGTGCCACCAACTCTCCTTGATGGTGTTGCAGTTAAAGACACGTGGCTGCTAGCTAAAGGGTAGCGGTTCGAACCACCAGCCCCTCCACGGGCAGAAGATATGGCAGTCTGCTTTTATAAAGATAAACAGCCTTGGAAACCCTATGGGGTACTTCTACTCTGTCCTGTGTGGTCACTGTGAATTGACTCATGGTGGTGTGTTTGATATGGGTTTATAATGCCACCTATTATCTATCACTAAGTAACAAATTATGCCCCAATTTTTTAAACACTAAACATTTATTAATTCATCATTTCTTTGGGCTAGGTATCTGGGTGTGGCTTTACTGGGTGCTTCTGACTCAGGCTTTTACAGGATTGCAGTCAAGGTGCTGTCAGAGGCTGCTGGCCTCTTCAAAGCTCAACCAGGTGAGGGTCTCCTGAGCTCCTGCTTATGTGGCTTTCCTCAGGCCTCTGGTCCTTGCTACCTGTTCACGTGTTTTTTTGCCTTGTGGACCTTTCTGTAGGTCTACCCATATGTCACACAGCAGCTGGCTTTATCCAGAATGAGTGGAGAAGCTGTGACCCTTGTTTTCTCCTTGTGCGTCATGTATCAGTTTGCTCCGGCTGCTTTCAGGGCTGTCTTGTATCTTTGGGTTTTAGCACTTTGACTATTAAGGGCTTAAGTAAAGTATGGTTTTGTTTTCATTTATCTTGCTTGAGGTTGACTGAACTGGTATATATAATTTGGCTATATCTGGTCATTATTTCTCTTTCCTCCTTTCTGGGACTGCACTGGTGTACGTTAGAGATTTTTGTTCATCTCTATCAGGATCCCCGGTCCACTAGTGGATTACAAGCCAGACTGCTAACCACAAACTGTGTTTGAATCCACCTCTACTTTATGGGAGAAAGCTGACACTTTCTGATCCTGTAATCATTTATAGCCTCCAGAGTGCACAGGGGTAATTCTACCCAGCTGCAAACGCTGCTATGAGTCAGAATTGCTTTCAGAAAGAAAGATTCCGTATATACTCATTTATAAGCCGAATTGAATATCAGCCAAGGCACCTCATTTTACCACAAAAACTGCATTAAAAATGTGCTGAAAAACTCTGCTTATACACGAGTATATATGGTAGCACATTCACTAACCCTTTCTTCTGTCCTCTCTATTATGCCCACTAGTAAGGTTTTAATATGAGATACTGCCAATTCAAGCAGATTTTCCTTGAACATAAATAGTATTCTTGCCTTAAAGCTTTGGCTTTTTTTTTTTTTTTTAACATCTGGGACCTTTCAGAGATTGTATCTGTTGATTGTCTTTTTCAGAATGAATCCCGTTTAACCCTTTCTTTGTATGTCTTGTTGGTTATTCATGTTAGAATAATATTGAATAACCCTCCCCATCTTGTGAAGGATATGGTTTAGAGTGTCTGCATTCTGTTATAATCCTTTTGAGAGTAATTTTGTTTTTGAAATAGTTAAATTGGCTGAACTCCCCCTGTAGGCTCCGTTTTCTTAGTGGTGAGTGGCCACACAAACACCAGTTTATTTATTGAGTTTTAGCCACACTCTGTGGAGAAGGGCTGGGAGCTATTCTCGTCCAAATGACGTGCGCCTTCCCCTACGTAGGCACAGATTAACATTCTCACATTAACAGTATTTCAGACCGCCTGTTTCTGTTCAGCCTCTTGGTAATAGATTTTGCCAATCCTTAAAAATTTTGTAACTCTGATAGATCTAAAAAAGGAAGAAGAAATATTTTATTTGACCATTTTAATTTTGTAAATTGCTATTTCATTTTGTGTCCTGTCCTGTAGTGCTTTCTTTTTTCTGCGTGTCGAATTAGGGGTCTCGGCAGCAGAGTCCACTCGGAGTTGGGCTGCCAGCAGCAGAGTCATCAGGTAGTCGGTCCACCAGGGAAAGAGGAGACTTTCTATTCCCTGAAAGGTGTATCCTCCCAGAAACATACGTGTGTACTTATATATACATGCATGCATACTATTTAAGTATCCATTGCTTACTCTATTGGACATTCTCATGGGAACCTGTGTTGTCGGCACCACTGTGATGCTTTTAAAGGAGTTGTTTGTGCCCGGAGTAAAGAGCTTGAACAATCCGAACACACGGACGACACTGAGAGCAACGCCTTCCTTCCACTCCCGGCTCCATTGCCCTTCTCAGGGGCATATCTGACATCTGGACATTTTCTTCCAGAAATATGCTATCTGTATACAGAAATCTATGTGTTTTAATTCCCTGTTAGAGCACATACATCACTTGCTACTATTTTCAGAGAGATTATTCATTTTCCAGCCTACCTAGATGAACACAATACTTTCTGCCCGTGAAGAAACCATCCTGTTGACAAATTTTGTTTTGTTTTTCTAGCTAAAGAACTGTTACATTTGGATGCCATAGTTACCTGCTTTTCTCTGTCTGGTTCTGTTTTTCCTTATTCCTTGAGGGTTTCCCCTCTGTAACTGTAAGATTGTGAAGAAAGAGTCTTGCTTGACCTTTTTAACATACATGCACTGTTACGAAATCCTCTCCTGATCTGCCTGAACCCCTTATGTTTTTTCCTTCATTGTGGCAAAGCAGAAAGGAAAAGAAATGTTGGGAGCCGGGATCGGCAGCCATTTATCCCATGCTTGCTTTGAATTAGATCCTAGGCTCGATGCTGAGGGTTTGAAAATGTTTAAGACAGGTTCCTTGCCTTATGAAAGCAAACTGCCTAAGGGCTGACCGTGTGGTTGATCTGTTGCTGAGCAAACTTTCCTCTGCCCACTCTGCCTGTTTCATATACCCGTT